AAAAACTAGTGGAGGTTTGACAGGACTCAGGAGCAACCGTGTCTGTTTGACGTTTCATACAGAAAGAAATTAGTTTATTTTCAACGTTGAGGAGAAATGGCTAATTCCCTTTAAACCCAGGTGAGCAAGCATGTACATGTTCTACCCCATTAAAGGCTTCTTTCTCATTATGTAGTTAATAACAAAAGATATACTACGTGTTTTTGGCTGTGAGACGTAGTTTGGACAAAGTTGTCGGCGATTCTTTCTATAGTAAAGTCATGCAATGTGAAAGTCCCTGTCGCCGATCCATCTTGCAGTGTAAACAAAGCAGCGACGAAACGCTAACCCAGATAGTCATGCAGTGTGAAAACATCTGTGACACGACTCCTTTGAAAATCATGCAGTCTGAACTCGGCATTAGAATTATAAGGTTCTATATGATATTTTTATCAAAATTGAGTTATTGACAAATTCTTTTTAAATGACAACTTATTTACATTATGGGATGTTTTTTTATAAGTTGTTTACATTTTAAAACTTTTAATTTAAATAAACAAATGTTACACACATACTGTTTGCTATGGAATGCAAAAACTTTAAAGCTCAATATCTCACAATTATTAAGAACGCAGATAGAACCTTATAATTCCAAGATGACAAGAAATGCCGACTATCCCGAACTGATGTGGCATTTTCCTTTTATAGTGTCTCATCGTCCTGCAGCACAACAATTGGGGCTTTGCTCAAATGCATCATCGTACATCAGTCCGTGTCCTGAATGATTGACATCCAACACAGCCACCCTGTGTATCCTATCAACACAAAACAAAACCGGCAAAACCAAAATAACAGTCCCCAAACTGAATAACATCATATGGACGTAACAATGGTATATGTAGCTTTTTCTGAGGTGGTGAGTAAGGAGGAGCTTCAAGCTGATCTGTCTGCAGCGGATCATTTAAAGTCATTCAAGCTGAAGCTGTAAAACACACACACACAATGATTCTCCATTCAATTATTCTGCTCTCTGCTTTAGCATGTAAGTACCATAGTTTGCATATGCATTATAGTTATGTATATTTATTATGATTATGTTAAAGTATATAGTAAGTACTGTTTAATTATGTAGAGACTTAAAAGTACAATTAAAGTTCCCTTCGATACTAAAAAAATAAAATAAGCATTTCCATTGCAGATGCCAGTAACGGAGATACTATTACACCAGACAAAACAGAGGAGTTTGCTGATGAGGATTCAAATCTTACTTTATCCTGCAGTTATTCCTCTGCCTGGAATTTACTTTGGTACCGCCAGTATCCTGGATCAGCTCTTGAATATCTTGTGCTTACTGTAGATACTGTAAACGAAGCTCGAACGTCTGATGTAGATGTCAGATTTGCTACTAAAACCAGAAAAGAAAATGCAAACCATGTGGATCTGGAGATCTCCTCTGCTGCAGTATCAGACTCTGCTGTGTATTACTGTGCTCTGAAAGCCACAGTGACTGAAAACACACAAGCATTGAACAAAAACCTGACTGTGAAAGGAGACATTGGTCTACTATGGAAATGAAGAAAGATGATCCTTACAGTATGTGTTTAATTATATACATAAATAAAATATTAAAACAGAAAAGACCCTTTTCATTTCATATTATTCACATAATTTATTTTTAGAGTTTTTCTCTAAAGTTAAATAAAAATTACAAAGTATTAATGCATCAAAATTATTTTAAAAAGGGTTTATAATATTTGCAAAAATATATATAATTTTTCATCCACATTTTCACATTTGATCAAGGAACATACTATACTACTTGCAGAAACACTGCATGTAAAAATTTTCAGCAGATGTCGCTTAACTTAAAAACTGCAACAGTCTGTTTAACAATGCTAATTAGTTTACGGTGGTTCATTTTAATAATTTTCAAATATACTTGATTATATTACTGTTAGTGCTAAAGATGCTGTTTAAGAATGTTCCAGAAATTTTGTTTCTTTAGCATCTACTAACGGTTAATCATTTATTTTGTTTGCAACTTTTATTCTTAGAGCCAACACACTTGTACAGATTTTATAACCAACACGCATTAACATTTATATATTTTTGTCTTTAGCATTAATCGCTGGCTTGCATATTTTTTTTAATAAATGTGTTTGCCTTAGAAAAGGCTCCTCAAACGATTTGAGTTACCTTAACTTATAATATTTTACAGTGCTCAGTTGGTTTGAGTTATCTTCATTTATTGGGTTTTCTGTGCTGAAATTGCTTTGTTTACTCAAATGGAGTAAGTTCACAGTACTCATTAGGATTAGTTTTTGAACTTAAATGGTTTGTTGCAATCAGTTTCCTCAAATGATTTGAGTTACCTTAACTTTTTGGGTTTTACAGTGCTATGAATTAAACATTTAATATTATCTGCACAAAGTAACCACACATTGTGAATGCATAAAACAACAAAAAAGAGAGAACTGCTGCTCATCAAGTGGCAGAGATGGATTTGTTTTTACAGTGCATCTTTAGCAGTGAACTTTATTTTCAGTGAAAGACTGTCCCAGCAAACTCACAAGCAGTGAAATGTGCCCAGATGTCGGCATTTAGTTGGAATTTTTTAATGATTTTTTTAATGAGATCTCTTTCTAGTGAAATACAAGGTGATTTATGAATGAACATAATATGTGTTTATTTATTCAAACTGTATTCTAAGATGTTATTAAAGAGCCCCTATTTTGCATTAAAAAGGGTCATATTTTGCTTTTAGGGGTCTCCAGTAACATGCTGATATGTGTGCAAGGTCAAAAATCACTTTCATTGTCTTATATATGCATTTATTTTCACCTAATATGCCAGCGACTCCCATATGAATCGTTAACCCTAACCCCAACTAATAACAACGACACACATTCAGTAATAATCCACACAGTGGCAAAAGCTGAACTATTCTGAAAGTTGACCACCGAGCCACTTGAGGAAAAACTGATGGCGGCCACAGCAAAGGCAAACAGCAGAGGATCGCCAATTCAGAAATGTATTTAAATTGGTAAAGGAAGAAGCATGCGTCACTTTTTTTACGTGGTTTTGAACATTTTGCAAACTACACAAAAGAGGCAACATTTTTAATGACACTTACATGTTATGATCTGGAGAATATGTGATCCATATGAACTGTAAAAGTTACTGACCAGGTCAAAGTCTGATAAGTCCTATAATCTCTGCTGCTGCTTCAAAAGCAAACGGCCGGTGAATCCCAGTTTTGCAGCATAGGTTATTGTATTAAAAATCAGAAAAATGAGAAGAACAAACACAGCACCAGGTTGGCTATACTGTGGTATTGTTGTGAAAATAAATTTTAACCCTTTATTCCACACAGCCGAATCTTCATCTGTCAGTGATCGTCATCTTCGTATCATGATCAGCACCCTGATCGGCCTCTGCTAGTATCTGAAGTGAAAGCGCGTTCACATTTTACTAAAACTGGAAGTACATATTTGGTGATGGACTGTGTCGACATCGATTCGATCAAACAAAACATCCGAACCCTACTCGATTCGTTTATTCGACTTCGGGTCAACTATTTCACTAAAGAATCAATAGTTTTAAACATGCTGCACTTTTATATTGAAACCTTGGCTGGATGTTTTTACTCACTTAGAGCTGTGTAACACACTGCATTGAAGCTCATTTTTAAAAACTCATAATAGGGGGTCTTTAAATTAACTACATGATGATTCAAATAAAGTTCAACTTGCTTTTTTGTCTAAGCTGTTTCAACTGTTCAAGTGTATTACCTAAATACCTGTTTCAGTTCTAAGAATACTACACCTTTAATACCAGTTAGTATGGATCCAGAAGAGGGCGCTGTGCTCTATATGATATGAACAGAAGAGCGTGTGCTCTATGAACATGAAACAGATCTGATCAGTCAAAGATCTCTCTGGAGGAGGAAGGCTTTAAAACACTGTCAGTCTGGTGTGCTCTTGTTCAACTTCAAATCTGTTTGACAGCAGAGAAAACACAATGATTCTCCTTTCTGGCATTTTGATTTCTGCCTTAGCATGTAAGTATTGAAGGGTTTTGAGATTTTCAGCAGTAGTCCTTTATGCTGCGTGTTGAATTTTATGTCAATAAAAAATTATATTTATTTAATTTAAGCAGTTTTTAAAAAAGTTTTATTTTTGCAGATGCAATATATGCAGATGAAATTAAACCAGTCAAATCAGAGGAGTTTGCTGATGGGGGCTCAAATGTTACTTTATCCTGCACTTATTCATCTGCATATTATCTTTACTGGTACAGACAGTATCCTGGATCAGCTCCTCAACATATTGTGCTTATTCCAGAGAGTAGAAAAGATGATACAAAGTCTGATGTAGATCACAGATTCATAGCCAGAGTCACTAAAGATAAAGAAAAGCGTGTGGATCTGCTGCTCTCCTCTGCTGCTGTATCAGACTCTGCTGTGTATTACTGTGCTCTGGAGCCCACAGTGACAGGAAACACAACAGCACTGAACAAAAACCTGACACAAAGCAACTTATTAGACCTATACCATATTCAGTCCTCATATATGCTATGTTTAACACAAGAGAACCCTCCTCTAATCAACAAAAACATTTGAACTGCTAATCCTAAACATTCACATCTCCAGCTCTTCAAAACATTTTTAAAGCATTTAACCACCGAGAAGCTAAAATCATATTTATACGTTTTCTTTTTCCCAGGAGGCGAGGAAGGCTGTCAAAATATAATTTAATCAGATATCAAAAGCACACACCATATTCATGGGTATATTTAGTGAGTTAATATTTAACATAGAGAGAAATAAGTACAGTGTGACTCTGACATTTGTTCAAAAACACTGTTTATAGCAATTTTACCATTGGGGAAACTTTTCCAGTTTTCTCCAGCAGGGGACAGTATTGCTGTCTTCACGTAGAAGTAGATCATGTGACAGTAAAACAATTTCAGTTCAGTGAGAGAAACCTTCACAGAGTTTCTGAGAGCACAGCCGATTTCATTTCTGTTCTTGTACCTCAGAGATCAACTATGTGTAGATGGGCTTTCATTTCCCTGTGTTTCATCGCACATTATGAAGGTAAGCACATTTCTGTTTTCTGTGCACTATAACACGGAAGGTTTTACTTACATTTAAAACTACTGAATGATTAAGTTTGCTTTAAAACAATAATGTTAAAGATATACTTTTTTCTATGTATTTCTCCAGTGTGCAGAGGACAAGACAAAGTTGAACAGCCTATAAGAGAAATAACTGAAGGTGAAGGAGCTCATGTTTTTGTCCAGTGTAATTATACTTCATCAAATCCAACACTCTTCTGGTACAAACAGCTGCCAAACAGATCACCAACATTAATTCTGAGTCAATACAGCGCTGAGGCTGATAAGAAGAGATTCTCAGCAACACTGAACTCCAAAGAAAAATCATTTCCACTGCTGATCCAGGATCTACAAGTATCAGACTCTGCTGTGTATTACTGTGCCCTGGAGCCCACAGTGAAAGGAAACACAACAACACTGAACAAAAACCTGACGCACAGAATATGATCTACATCACAGATATTCAGCCCTCAGAGTTATCACAACAGATTAATCAGCATACAACAGTATTATATTTGCACTGTTCATCACGAGCATTCACTTCTCCAGTTATTTAAAACATTTTATAATATATTTACTGTAACCAAAGAGAAGTCAAAGCCATATTTATGCATTTATTTTTCCCAGTGGTGATTAAGGCTGGAAACACTTTACAATAGAGGACACATAGTTGATTTTAGTTAATGTATTTACTAACATGAACAAACAATGAACAGCACAATACAGCATTTATTCATCTTTGTTAACATTAATGACAATGTAGTTGTTCATTTTCGCTCATGTTAACTCACAGTCCATTAACAAATGTTAACAAGCATGAATTGGTATTGTAATACTGCATAAGTAAATGTTGAACTATGTTTAATAAATGATGTACAAGTATTGTTTATTATTAGATCATGTTAGTAAATTAACTATGTGTCTCATATTGTAAAGTGCTAGCAGAAGGCTTTGTTAAAATATCATTTGACTCTGAGACTGTAAGTTTAGGAGAATTTCTGATACATATAGAGGAACTATTATTTATGAATTCATTATTATGTAATCACTATACAATCAGGAGACTGTAACCACTATTAAAATATAGGTTACTATTAAAATATACTGTTAAAAACTCACAGATGTTTAGCAGAGGAAACTCCCAGACATTTAGGGGATTATAACTGAAGCACAGCAGGTCATGAGCCTAAGGGCGTACTTACACTATGCACAGTTGCCTTGAACCGGGCTGAAGCACACTTGTCCCCCCTCCCGTCTCACCCGACGGACCACACTCACATCGCATTCGGGCCTGAGCACACTTACGTCATCGATGATGCACTGTTCAGTTTAAGAAGCGCTCTCGCTCTGCACAGTAGACATTTCTTTATATCGTTATATCGTTTTAAGTCGTTTGAGATGCAGTGACACGCAGTCAAATATTTCACAGAACAGATCAGCCACTTTTGACACTCAAAAACCATGATAAATACCACGTGCTGCAGGAGTGAAGGGGTTTGCTGAGGGTGCAGTTGTGATGCAGTGAGGGGTTTGCGTCTTTAATAATCTACGACAGTTTGCGTTCATTGAACAGTAAGAATGATTAATAAATCCATATAAAACAGTCCCTTAAAAGTCACATCTCATCTTCAGTTTCGGTCTCAGGTGCACTTTGCACTCACACTATAAGCATACCGTACCTGAGGCCTGGTGAACCACGCTCTAACACACCACTTCCAACCGGGCCACGGCTGGCCAAGTGAACCAAGTCTGAGCCCAATTCAGAGCACTCACACTTCTCAAATGATCCTGGAAACAGGCCTGGGCACGGTTCAGATAGTATAGTGTGAGTACGCCCTTAGACAATATTCACACGTAGGAAATACATTTAGACAAATGAATGTATTGACCATTACAAAAACAACCCTCACTAAAAAGCATACAGTACATAAGGTTTTTCTAACTCCCAGTAAACAAAACAGAAAAACATACAGCCATCAATTAAAAAGTTAGAACTCGGAAACGGCGTGATGTTACATCATACCTCATGATAACTGTGGATAAGAAACCGTATATAAGCTGTGGGGTTTTGAACATTGAAGAGGAGAGAGCTCCAATGACCATCTCTGCTGTAACAATTGACTGCTTCAACTTAAGAACTTCGCAGACCTCAGCTTTTTTTTTTAAACTTAAAAGATGTTTGTTAAGATCCAGCGCAACTTTTCATTACATAAGAATACATACAATTCTACACCATTCAGTAATTCTAGAAATATGTTCATACATATCTAGTGAGTAAATATAAATTAAACATAGAGAGAAATAAGTACAGTGTGCCTCGGGAAATTGTTTAAAAACACTGTTTATACCAATCCTACAATTGCGGAAAATTATTTACAGCATGGGTCTCAAACGGCCTCCACCTTCTGGCCTGCAACTGACTTAAAAAATATAACAAAATTTATATTTATAAATTTTATTATATTATATATATATACTATCATTGTTGTGCAGTTGCATATAGCCCAATATGCATTACATTTTATTTATATAATAATTTTGCTGTAATTATAATTACTTTCATAAATGTATCTCAAATGTGTATTAAGATTTGTATAAAAAATATGTACATTAGTAAACAATTAATGTCAAGCTGGTTGAATTCAACATGTTAAAATAAATGTGAATATACATACTCTTCACCCTCTTTGTTATATAGTTTATCAAAAAAGAAGATATTGTGAAGAACAATTGTCAGTAAAGTCACTGAAGTTACTTTCTCATCTGGAGTACGCTATTTGTTATACTTTTGGTTATGCAACAATGGTTACGATAATGACTTGTGACAGATAATGCTTTTAATATGTTGCCCTAAGATGCATCAGTTACATCATGTTCGCACTTTCTTATTGTGTTTGAATGTTAAAATGGCCCTCTTATGAGTTGTCAGTCACTGCAATGACTCCCCACTAAACTTAGTTTAAGACCCTTGATTTACATTTTTTTAGAACATCATGTTTAACCTTTTCCAGTTTTCTCCAGTAGGGGGCAGTAATGATCTCTTCACGTATAAGTAGTTCATGTGACAGTATTAAACAAGTAAAGTAGAGCTCAGTGAGAGAAACCTTCACAGAGTTTCTGAGTACAGTTGAGTTCATTTCTGTTCTTGTACCTCAGAGATCAACTATGTGTAGATGGGCTTTCATTTCCCTGTGTTTTATTGCACATCATGAAGGTAAGTTCATTGCTGATTTTGTCCACTTTAAAGAAACAAAAAGGTTTTATAGGCTTTTATATTACTGGACTCTTAAGTATGCTTTCATAATAATTCATGTTAATGATATCTACTTTTTTTCTGTTATACTCTCCAGTGTGCAGAGGACAAGACAGAGTGGAACAGGCTGAGGGAGAAATGACTGAAAGTGAACGAAATCATGTTATTATAAGCTGTAATTACATTACAACTTCAACAACAGTGTATCTCTTCTGGTACAAACAGCTGCCAAACAGATCACCAACATACATTCTGAGTCAATACAGCGCTGAGGCTGATTTTAAAGAGAGATTTTCTGCAACACTGGACTCCAAAGAAAAATCATTTCCACTGACAATCAAGAATCTGCGAGTATCAGACTCTGCTGTGTATTACTGTGCTCTGAGGCCCACAGTGACAGGAAACACAACAACCCTGAACAAAAACCTGGCACACAGTGTTTGTGATCTACATCTACATCACACATGTTCAGCCTTCGTAGTTAACACTGTGAATCACTCCTTTAATCAGCAAAAAACGATATCAGTATATTTGATATATATAATAATATATAACATAATATAACTTGCAATCACAAACATTCACTTCTTCAGTTCTTCAAAACATTTTATGACACATTTAAAACCAAAGAGAAGCTTTTTGCATATTATTTTTCCCAGGTGCTGATGAAAGCTGGAAACACTTTACAATATGAAACATGTACAGTAGTTAATATTAATTAATGTATTTACCAACATGGACAAACAATTAACAACTTGTTTATTACAGTATTTATTCATCTTTGTTAATGTTTGTTAATGAAAATACAGTTGTCCATTGTAAGGTCATGTTAAAGGTGCTGAATGTAAATTTTTGACTCTTCTAAAGCATAAAATAACGTAATATGTTTGCAGATATTTAAGAAATATGCAGAGTGAACATTCTTGTTTATGTGAAAAACAATGCTGAACTCAGATATTCTGCTTTGAAAATGTGAGTTACGTGCCAGAATGCTGTCTTCGTTTTGGTTCCTTTAACCTGCCCAATGTCAGTTTGGCCAACTATATTTCAGCAGCAGCCCGGGTTGCCTTGGTGGAAAACCGCATATTTCATTCATTCATTCAAAAAGGCTCTCAAAGCATACGTCCGTGACTGAATTCGACCTCCGGGTGAAAGTAGCAGACTCTGAAATGAGAGATTCAATTTCATATGAGGTTATTAATTAGCAAATAATAAAAATATTACAAACGTAAAAATTAAGTGTGCAGGTTACATTGTAACCCCGAGTCCTAACAACACGTTATGTGACGAGATTTGCCAGTTTAAGCAATTTGGCTGTTTGCACAAGACGAAACACGACAGAAGTTTAAAAACAGCCATACAGAAGCACAGAATATCCACTTATTTAAAAAATGGTAAGATTTACAATCTAATTAATACATATTATCTTTAACACTATTAAATGTACATGCTGAATCACTGATATGTGTTGGTTTGCATTATTTCACAGCTATAAAGTTCAATTTCAAATGGTTTATTTTATTTTTAACTATCTGCTGCTGCTTTCAGTATATGGCAATACATGTAATGTAAAATGGGATTCAAACTCACATAGTTAGCATTTAACACTGAATAAAGCACATGAGGTGTACGTGAGATGATCTTTGTGAGATTTCTGTTGTCCACCTGTGAGAAAAAGAACCCATTTCTAATATATTTATCCCAGGTGTTGGTTTGGACTAAAATCTATTTAATATGAAAATATTCCTTCTATAGCGTGCCGTTGCTTTTATTTAGAACACGATTTAAATCAGCTGTTAGGCTCAATCGTCTGACTCACTCCTGTTGGTCCTCAATCTGGCAACCTGCACTTGTGTTTGTTTTGGTCCAGGAATGCAATACCTAGTTCAACCACTGGGTGTCAAACTTATGGCAAAACTAACTTAAAATGCATTATCTAATTTTAAAGTGTTACCACAAGGCTTAGTTAAAATGTTGTTTAATCTAAGACTAAGCACACATACAATAATTCAGTTATTCTAGAAAAATATTCATGGGTATGTATAGTGAGTACATTTCAATGTAACCTAATGCGAAATGAGTACAGTGTGGTTCAGGCATTTGTTCAAAAACACTGTTAATACCAATCAGCAAGTTATT